AAGTTCCTAACACCATTTTTCATTTTATATGATTGTTTAGGATCTACAACGCTTTAAAGTTGTATATTAACCAATTACGCTTTTAATTTTAATCTTACGTTTGTATGGATCTTTGTTACTCTTTCACCTAAAAAATACTGAATGGATTTTAATGAAACTTAACAGTAATATAGCTCATATATGATAATTACATATATATAATAATTTATGTAGTTATTGAGTGAATTGGCCAATATATAACAATAAATGTCACATAAGACGGAAAAAATCTCCTATCTGCGAGCCATTTTGGCCTGCACTGCAAAAACAATAAAAGTTAAATGAATGTAATGTAGAGTAAAAATGTATCACTTAAATAGTTCTAAAAAAAAGTCCGTGACACCATATATCTATTTTTAATGTGTAAGTCATTACCGCTAAAATAGTGAATCAAAACTAAATATTATTTGATATGTATTTCCAAAATGCACATTTTGTATTAACAAATCATTTTTTATCAAAACAAATACTTTTATCGCTTTTGATATTTAAAGACGATAAACTTTGCTTTTTACACTATGTCATTTCGACAAATATTTAAAAAGTTACAACGATGACAAAGTGATAGCTCGGTGTAATATGTAAAAGAAAAGAAAAAATGGGGCATTCGCAGTATCTGATCCTATACGAAGTACTAACAATAAAACTGTGATATTAAATGATGAAAAATATATTTACTCAGAATTTTACTGTTTTTCATTTTTTTAACGATATTACTTAATGTTACAAAAAAGGTTTACTTAATATAATGACAACTAACCCATTTTTCGCTAGTAAGTACATACTTATTGGAATCCCTGTATTTATTAATCAGCTCGCGATAATATTGGTTTTGTAATAATTCTGCAAAATTCAAAGTAAATAATGTAGATTTTTATAGGTAAATCACCCCTTTCATCACCCTACGCCTATAAGTATTGCGATGTTGTAGCTAAGAACCAAGTTCCCATCTACTTCTATATGGGAATTCATTATATTCGATTTAGCTATTAGGGCACGGAAGCGCAACAAACAAACTCACTTTCGCATCTATATTATTATATTATACTAGTGATCCACCCGGGCATTGTACAGGCGAAATTTATTTATCGGGATATAATATAGCCTATGTCACTCGGACAAAATTTATTTAAATAAAGAAAAATGTTATAATAAATAATGTAGCTACCTTATGATGAATTAATATTTGAAACCGGTTCAGTAGTTTGACAGATTATTTGTTACAAACATACAAATCTTGCCTGTTTATAATATTAGTATAGATATTTAGGATAAGATAAGTATTTAATTGATGAAAAAGATTTAAAAATAAAGTAAGTAATAGGTTTATTTGATTATATTTGTAAAAGTTACTTAGCATTTGTGCTTAACAGTGATACGTTATTCGGTATTTTTTTAAACAAAAAAAATGGGTGCGTGTACTTATGTAGGCGCGTGAGAAGTTATCCTTCTTTGGCATCGTTTAAAATTAGTTTTTAATTGCATGCAAATAATTAATTATAATAAATTAATAAAAAGTCTGTAAAAGGACACAGTCAATAAAGTTCAGTTTTAATTTGAAAAAATAAATAAATAATCAAAATATTCAATTAAAATCGCTACTGAATATAATTTATTACAACATATGTGATTTGCACTTGTATGAAACTCAAACACGTTTTCCGAATATACAAAACTAGAAACATGTGGATAAATATTATAAATATGAATACCTATAACTGTTACTTTATTACAAAAAATAAAGATGTGGTATTTGGTTCTACTACACCAATGGTCAAGAGATGGCGCTGTAGTCTCCTGAATCGCGCTTTGGTTCCGTTGTTCCAGATTAATAAATACTTTTGATATTATAAATATGAATACCTATAACTGTTACTTTATTACAAAAAATAAAGATGTGGTTTTGGTTCTACTACACCAATGGTCAAGAGATGGCGCTGTAGTCTCCTGAATCGCGCTTTGGTTCCGTTGTTTCAGATTAATAAATACTTTTGATAGGCCTTCACAATGCAGTCGTTAGCACTCACTAAAAAGAGATTCTATTTTGTTGGTAGATTTTCTTAATGTGCCGTAAACACAAAACAAAAGTAACAGCATGAAGTTGGTCGCTAAAGCGACCAACGTCATGCTGTTAAAATTTTGTGTTACAGTGATGCGCGCGCATCTTAAAATTTCACTCTCATCATTTTTTCATAACGCGCCTAAAGAAGTATAACTTCAAATTTGGAAAATAATTGCCATGATTGCACTACTGGGAGTACCCTTCATTCGAGCTTTACATTACCAATCAAAAAGGGTCAAACACAAAGTCTTTGACCTGTTAAATGTGAACGCTTTAAAAGAAAACTACAAAGAGAACTATAAATTGATAATAATTGAGATTGCTATGGTGCGCGTACGTTAGGTAGATAACGTTATGAAAATTATAAACTTTGCTTTGGTGATTGCATAATTATTTAATTTAGTGATATTGAATTGAATTTAGTGATCTAAGGTAGTTGCCACCATTGTCCAAAACAACAGACGGGAATTACTGCTTTCTTCAACCTGCGACATAAACGTCATTGATTGGTATTGTATATAGGGTGATTAAAAACATTTGAAGTTAACTTCTAGCATCTACATATTGGGTTTCTGTGAATTATGCAGGTATATCAAATTATGAGACTAGGGACTGACACTGAATTTGTGTATATCACAATCTTAGACGTCCGGCGTTGACATGACAAAGCAGCCACTGCCAATTGTAAATAGTCGACGAATAAAAGTAAATGAATTTTATATTTACTGCTAAGCTATTAAAAAAAACATAAACACAAGATGACTTTTTGAGTAAGTGCTAGTTTACTATAAAATTTACATACATTAGAGATATTTATGTAACGACTTGATTTAATTTCACACATTTTTGCGAAAATTGAGGCCCATCTGTAGCCTTGACCCCGCTGGTAAAGTCTTTATATGTCTTAATAAATCAATCTTTTAGACCGACGCAAGGTACTTAATAATTCCCGCGATATTAATTCCCTTACTGAAGTAACAAGACTACGGTATATACTGTCTTAAAATACTAACTAACTAAAAAGTGTGAAATAAAAAAGGTAAATTTAAAAAGTCAAAAAATCCGACTGCTTAATTATACTTCAAATAAAAACTGAAAAGAAAAAAACAAGTCCAGTAGTGTATAATTCTGTTAATAAGGAACAAAGCTACTTTAACAGTCGGGACCCATTAGATATTCAAGAATACATAATATTTTTCAACAGTGGGTCCCGACTGCTAAAGTAGCTTTGTTCTTTATTAACAGAATTATAGACTACTGGACTTGTTTTTTTCTTTTCAGTTTTTACTTGAAGTATAATTAAGCAGTCGGGTTTTTTGATTTTTTAAATTTATTTAAGTTTATGTATCTCTATTAAATGGTTGGTTCACATCAAAAATCAACTAAGCGTAAACGATTTATGAAGAAAATAATGAAAAACACTCAAATATTTATCTACACCGAAAGTAGATAGATACATCAGTGAAAAAAAAACAATTTGACAGACCGTCCCCGCCAGAAATAATATTGCCAGTTTACTAAATTATAAAAAAAAAACGATATAAATCTTTTCCGATTTATTAATACTCACACAGTAGTTCAATACAGATTGATTATTTATTTCACTGTCATAGATCTATTATGATACTATGTCTACGATGATCATAATAAGCATAAATGTCATATTTGCACGTATAGTGTGTAACATCTGACAGTATGTGTGTTAAATCTGTGGGCGGTATTACAGCATGTTATGCTTAGTGAAGCAAAAAATCGTTTATTTATTGATAACAATCGGAAAAACGCGCAAGCTAGGTACAAGCACTTGAGTGATAAGTCCCTTTTATTTTTTAGCGTGCAAACTATAAATGACTCATGCTCATCGATCATAAACGTGGATACGAATACATGTGATGGAGAATTCGATATTGGTTCGTGCTTAGTCCATGCATGCAATTATATTTTTAACGTAAGTTCGCCCGATAGCACATGACTTTACCGTCTAATTTTTTTGACCATGGATGCAGGTCAATATACGGGGGGCTGCCTGACCGAGAAGTCTTAATATCTGGATTACATTATTAAATGTCGGGATATTGGGAATTCTGTTCGGAAAATTGAACTACACCAACGAACGACGTTTGTGTGTAACGCCTATATACAGTGATTTCAGCCTTTGATTATATACACCTACATACCCCCCCATTAATAAACGAGGAATAAGCTTGGACTACTTACGCCATTTTGTTCATAATACTGAAATTATATTTGTAATTAAATGAAAAGAGACTAAGCATGCATCCAGGTTTATTCTTCGTTTATTAATAAGGGGGAAAAGTATATGAGTTCCAGAGGTTTACCTAATCGTCGATTGGTCACCTTGGGCTTCCCAAGGTGTGTGACCACTAGGGTTGCCAACCCTAATATATGATATAGTATCCTACTATATTAGGGGATCAAATACTATATTTCTAAAAAAAATATAGTAGGCGAAACTACTATATTTTGCTTACAGCAGATTTTTGCCAGTAAAAGCGTTCTTAGAAATAAAAACATAATTATTAAGGCATGGAAGAGCAAAAATATATTAATTTTAAAAATTAAGTAGATATTTTAACGGAATACTTGGTATCGATTCTGGTGTGATTCTCTAAACTTAAAACTAAATTTAACACCACTCTCTCCTTTTCATTCTGTATAGTGAATGACAAGGACACACTGTTGTCAAATTTAAGTTTAGATTTACAGAATCATGTCAGAATCGACACCACTGTATTTCGTTGTATCTTTTTGCTATCTACTATATTTTTAGAGGAAACAGCATCGAAAATAAGTACTATATTTGATTGAAAAAAAGTTGGTAACCCTAGTGACCCCATATGTAGGCTACTATTGGGGACAATAGAAATAAAACACTTGCCTGCTGCTAAAGCGGTGCAGACTTTGCTGACGAACATAGCCATCGGTCCATTCCACGGCAAGATCAAGCCGCATACACCGACTGGCTGCTTGAGCGTGTACGTGAACACATCGCCATCTGTAATGATAACATTAAGTGTAAATTGATTTATTATATAATAAATAAAACCACTTTTACTCGATTAATGCGAAGAAAGACCTGACTGGTGAACTGCAAACTTCGAGACAAAGTCAATATAGATAAGTAGGTACTTGAAGGTCCAAAGGACATTGCTCGTTCCCCATACATTGAATGCAAGAACAACCAAGAACGCACAGCAATGAGAAAATGCTAGTTGTGTTCGGAATCATTCATAAACTCTAATTAGGCATTTGAGATAATACAGACAACTTGAGGAACCGTGGCCTACTACACAATGTATTAGATTTGAAGGTTATAATCATTATAATTAATCGTAAAAGATGTACACTTTATATGTTCTGAATAGATTTAGTGTTTACCTCTATGTAAGCACTTAAATAATATGCATTAAATGAACATAAAATGCAATTAATAATAAAAATAATATATGCTTGTATATTCATATTGATTTATGAGTGTTGGTAGTTGGCACCTATAATGCCTATACCTAACTATTGTAATAATAGATTTCTTTTCAAATGAAATATTCAAAGTCTTTCTATTTACCTATTTCTATATTTTACTATCGGTAATAAAGTATGTACCAGGTTATCATTATGATTTTCATAAAAATAAACAGATATTATATGGGATGGGAGTATAAACTATCTTTACATAATTTCAGAAATAATCGTTTTATAAATATAATATAAATACTAGTGACAAGTATTATTAACTAAGGATTAACTAAGGTACCTAGTTCAATTCTTATGTTGATAAATACTTATGGTCGCCTATATTGCATTTATTAAGGTAAACAATCTTGGCACAACTTTTTTACAAAATCACCCATTTAAAAATAAAATAATAACGAAGCCAATAAACTATTAAAATAAATACTTACTAAAGACTGAAACCTATTGAATCCAGTTATCAGTTGATTTTTAAGGCTATATTTTCAATAAAAAGGAGTGCCAAGATTGTTTACGAAATAGGACAAGTTAGGATGAACAGACTGTAGTATCTAGTAACAGAACTTACAATTTTTATTTTTTAAACAGATTGTCCGTTTACTATGATTAATTGCTAATAAATAAAAAAAATAATAGTGCAGGACATTCTTCTGGGCATGCTAGGGCCGATTTCGTCGATGTCCTTTGTTACCAAATTGGACATATTATCATGCTACTTGCATACAACAATCCATCACACATTTGCAACTAATATTTGGAATTTAAAATTTAATATCTACAAATATCATGATTGCTTATGTCTCGCTCCTATGAGCGAGACAAGGCACCGCACGAACAGTATGTACTGTTCGTTATATTCTACAAAACAAGCTTAACTTTATGGTTCATGGTCACCATGTCTTATTACAGACAACTGCGGAGTAGGAATCACACGCGTGATTCAGGTACCTGGTAGAATAATTTAATTATACTACAGGTTAACTTTTTTTAATCGGGAAGAAAAAAGCACGTAAAAGAGCTACCATATAGGTTACTTCTGAGACCATCATCTCCCAACGCTGAAAATCTCAAAATATTTCGATCACTGCAGGAACAAAGTCACATGATATGCATCACTATCAGTCTGATGTTTTTAAACACATTAAACTCCCCGGCTGTCGTACTATTTAAATGAAATTAAGGTCATCTAAAAATGGCATTTACATTCTTACCCATAGGAATAGTATCTCCTTGAATCTTATCAGCCAGGCTGGCGAGATATCTAATGCTGGGTAGGATCATTCCATGGATCATGAACTTGCTAAAGCTGCAGACCATGCCGTTGTTGTAGGTCTCGAGGCTGGACAGGTAGTCCTGGTCGCGCTCGATGAGGTCCGCGAACTTGTTGAGCAGGCGGCTACGTGCCGAAGCGTCCAGTAAACGCCATTCTGAGTTGCGATGGAATGCAGCCTTTGCTGCTGCTACTGCGGCTGCTATGTCCGCCTGTGTCAATAAGTATACGAATCAGCTATCGTCGCGTCTTGACACACAACCAGTACCCCAAGCACAAACTTGGACAGATCTGTAGTCGTATCGCCAATGTCAGTTTCTATGGAAACTCTATAAGCAGAGCCCCAACCCGATGTAAGAACAAACTGGCTATTTGCATGCAAACTTTGACGCTGGCGATACTAAATAAATAAAGAAATAAATATTTCCAACACTCGCATCTATTAGCCTAGCCCCAAAGTAAGAACAGTGGGCTTGTGTTATGGGATACTAGGGTAACGGATAGAATGCAAAGAGGGCGGCGGCGGAGGAAGCTACACGGGCACGCTTAAGTAGTACTCCGCAGTGGACAGGGGGCGGTACGGTGGGCACTAGGCCACGTACTCAGCCCCAACGCGCGGGCCATCCTGCTCACGTCTGCGGGGTCCCCGCAATATCTCGGGAGACCCCTGCCGTGGAGGGGAGGGCTTAGAGGGACTTCGCAGGGTTTTTTAACTGTTATTATGCCGTAAAGCGCCCGTAAGAGTTACGGGGCCCTCAGTGGGCAGCCACTGCGGGGGCTCGTAAGGCTTGCGGGAGCCAGGTGTGAGGTCTGTTCCGCAGTGTGCCTCTTAAAGGTGCCCTCGTCTGTAATAGAGGTTTTGCCTGCGTGACAAAAAAAGAGTAACGGATAGAATATATATACTAATACATATATGAGTATATTTATATAGAAATACATAATAAACATCCAGGACTGGAGTACTAATGCTTGTATTTATCACACAGACATCTCCCCCACCCACCGGGATTCGAACTCGGGACCTCTCGAATAGGCGACACCTTGAATGCCGGCGTACAAACCACTCGTCTCGTCGTAATACGGATCTGCATCTACGTGGAAAAGGTCTACGAGTTGTTAGCGGTCTTCATCTACTGAGCAATGAATTTGTTCACACAAGGGATATGGATAATAAAAGATCGTCCACTTATCTTAAAGTATCGATGCAAATCCATTAATTCGAAAGCACGTCCAAGTCTAATATCTAATCTATTACGTACCCGGAAAAAAGTAGGTAGGTGTCTACTTTGGAAGTTTTTAAGTGTGATACTGATGTGGACATATTTAATTCCACATTAATAAGCGCCTCTATTGTTCGAGAAATAAGAGCGAAATACACCATTAAAGTGTTTAGACCTGCACAAGCAATTTTGAACCTGCTGACGCTCAGAATCGGTTTACTTGGCAGGGACGAACAATAACTCTCGCTTAAGAAAGAATGGTTTCATAATAAACTATGTCGGTGATTTGGTACTTATACGAATTTTAGAAGGAAAAGCATCTTATAATCTCAAAGGCAAGTTGATCGCGTCATCATGACGAGGCAAATTGCTAAAATTATGTACCTAAATAATGGGACCAATTCGCAGATAGTAGCAACGGTCAGGTATTGCTCGTTACGATAATCGGACAGATTCCGGCATACTTTGTTTTATTTTATTTTATTTGTTAATAATTTATGTTTTTTAGCTATAAACTTTCTCTCTCCCCTCTTTAAGATAAACCGGTGGACTGGGAGTAAAAGAAAAACACAGACCGCGATGCGAAATGTGGCGTCAACATCATTGAGGTGTAGGTAGGTAGGATGAAAGTATTGTGATTCATTTCGTTTTTATATCATGTAAGTTTAGGTACAATACCTTTATCGCAAATGTTACATTTTTGCTTTTTGAATGTCATGAAATTAATCATGTTCAATCGGTCCTCAGAATCTCAGCTCAGAATAATATTACAATGAAGTACCTATATAATAGCAACGTTTTTCATTTCCTCAAAACTATATCAAAGTATGAACTGTCAAAACTAACAATTTCATACAAACCATTTTCGTTGCTTAGCAACCATTTGTTTTATTGAAGAATTCTAGTGTCAAGTAATGACTTGGTAACAATCGTGGTAACAATAAAGTAATTTCGTACCAAGAAATTAATATCGTAGCAACAAGTCATTACGTATTTGTTATGCGAGTGTTATATTTTTGGTATTGCAAAAGTCTACACCGTTTTAACATAAATAAAGAAGAGAATGGAATTTGTTTATCGGTATTTTCACATGTTTTTCTGTCCACCGAAAGGAATTAATGAGGTAATTCAATACGTTTGTAATATTATTACATATTTTTGTACTAAAACTGATTATAAAAAAAATCTAAATCACTGACAGTTTATCTAGTAGGTATCTGGCCAACATTCTCTTTCAAATCAAATCTACGCGCGGTACCTTATACACTGTTAAAAATATCGGGAAAAACACCAATAAGGTAACCATCGTGGTCCAAAATTTTATATTTAACGTAGATTATGTAATTTAGCACAGTAATGTATATTTACATTATAGAAATAACTGTAAGTTATGTAAAAAATCATATTCTGTAATTTTACATAGAGGCGTTGATTCTCATTGTGTGATTTTACACAATAATTTATTATGTTATTTAACATAATATTTAATAATATAATGTTATACTAATTGATGGATTTTATTTTTGGGAAAATCCCGTTCCTTACGTGTAAGTGTGTTTGCACATAATATGTAAAAATACATTTCTTACAACATATAACTACAAATTTTTTCTATTAAATAATTTGTGAACGTACACAAAATTTCGCATCTTTTATGAATATGAATTAATCATTAAGGTACATTTTATTTTAGAAAAACACCTTCCATTAAATAATTCGAAAACCATTTAGGTACGTACCATTTGTAATCTGCACAATCAACGCGTTTCTACCTAGAAATGCGTTGATTATGCAAAACGCCTGTGTGTCATACAGTTCAAGTGATAATGTTCAAACGATTAAAGTTAAATGAAGTAATTCATCATCATCATCATCATCATCTTAGCCATACGTCGTACACTGCTGAGCATAGGCCTCCCCCAAAGATCTCCACATCAATCGGTTGTGCCACGCACATCCATTGGCTTCCCGCGACCTTCACCAGATCGTCGGTCCACTTGGTGGGGGGTCTCCCAACCGAGCGTCGTCCGGTGCGCGGTGCCATTCGAGAACCGTTCCGCCCCAACGGTCATCAGTTCTGCTCGCTATGTGCCTTCCCACTGCCACTTTAGCTGAGCAATCCTTCGAGCTATGTCGGTTTCTTTAGATCTCCTGCGGATTTCCTCATTTCTGATTCTATCATGCAGGGAGATACCGAACATCGCTCTATTGCCCGCTGTGCGACCTTGAGCCTTCTTATGAGACCCATAGTAAGAGACGACGATTTGCTTCCTTAAGTCATCACTGCTCAAAGACTTTTGTCTTGAGTCACTGAGGTAATTTGGACACAAAGATTTTGCGTTACTTCCTGAACGCTGCCCACCCGAGTTGAAACCTCTTTCTCAAAGTTGGACTTACTTGACTGGACTGTCTGTTCCAGGTAAACGTAATGGTCGACAACTTCGAGTGGAGTATTTCCAATTATAACTGAAGTGGGTACAACATGGACATTCGACATAATTTTCCTCTTATCCATGTTCATATTTAAACCCACTCTTTTGGAAACACTGCTGAAATCTTCGAGCATTGTGTTCAGGTCTTCCAAGGTCTCAGCCCGAAGTACTACATCATCGGCAAAGCGAAGGTGTGTTAGGTGCTCGCCACTGATGTTAATGCCACGTCATTTCCAATCCAGAAGCCTGAAAATATCCTCCAACGCAGCAGAAAACAGTTTCGGAGATATAACATCTCCCTGTGTCACGCCTCGTTGCAGTTGGATCGGATTAGAGCTCTGATTCTGTAATCGGACTGACATGTTGGCGATTTCGTAAAGGTACCTTAAACACCTCGACAAACCTGTAGTCTACTTGGCACCTTTGGAGAGATTGCAGCACCGCCCAGGTCTCAAACGTATCAAAAGCATTCTAGTCGACAAACGCCAAGTAAAGTGACAGGTTATACTCCTCGGTTTTCTGTATAATCTGCCACAGCGATGAATGTGGTCTACGGTACTAAAGTCTTTTTGGAAACCGGCTTTTTTTTGGGAGGTTGGATGTCGTCAAACCTGCGAGCGAGACGATCCGCGATAACTCTCGAAAACAACTTATAGACATGGCTCAGAAGTGAAATTGGTCGATAGTTCCTCAAAAGTGTGCTATCACCCTTTTTGAAGAATAGAACAACCTCACTTCTGCCTCACGATTTCGGCGGTTCGCCTTTTAGGATGACGCAATTGAAAAGCTTCTGGAGGACTTTCAGTATCGGCTTACCACCCGCTCTCAGAAGCTCTGTAGTGATTCCATCATCATCCGCCGCCTTGTTTTTTTTTTAACTTATTTGAGAGCAATACTAATCACATACAGGCTAATATCTGGGATATCTTTGGTATAGTGTCGGGTAAGCTTAGCTCTGGGATCTTTAGCCATCTTTAGCCTTGCTTTCAACAGGTGCTTGTGAAGAATATAGCTGCCGATAGAACCTCGCAATCTCCCTCAGGATTTCAGACTTATTCGAAATGTTGCTACCGTCGTCAGTTTTCAGCTTCGTCAGTTGACTTTGCCCAATATATAAACATTTTGGAGCCCTTTTTCCGTTCTATATCTTCTCTAACACGATAAGTATTAAATTGGCGAAGGTCGCTCGAAAGACTTGAAGATATTTAACAAACAATACTGATTTGCATTGTCTGAGTTCTGTAACCTCATTTAATTTTGCTGTTCCATAAGTAGGAGTGTCTTGTCGGAGTGTTTCTTTATTCTAGTACGGCGGGTTTCGAAATACTGTACGGGCAGTATCCACCACCATGTTGTTTAAATCGCCCGCACCCAGGCTGTTTTCAAGGGCTTCGAAGCGGTTTTGGAGTTCGAGTTGAATACTAGCTCTCGCTTCGACCAATACCAGCACAATTACAAAACCTAGGGGTAGACCTTATTAGCCGAGATCTTTCCAGCTTAATGTTGATATTCAATGTATCTCTTACCAAACGGTGATCGCTTCCCGTTTTAACTGCATTGATCACAGAGACATCATTGAATATATGCAGAGACATCATTGAATATATGCCTTTTCGTCGACATGATAAGGTCAATCTCATTTAATTTTTTACCGTCAGGGCTCATCCGTGTCAATTGCGATTTTGGGGCTTTCAGAAGAAAGAGCTCATTATAAAGAGTTTCTCCTTCTCCATGAAGTCAATCAACATCCAACTTCTGGCGTTCCTTTGCCCAACTCCAAAATTTCCCCACTCTCAACTCATCACCGCAACGCTTCCCCAACCGAGCGTTGAAGTCCCCCATCACAACTGTGTAGTGAGTTTTGTGGCTTTAGAGACTCCTCATACATAGCCTCCACTTCGTCAACTGGGTGTGTTGAGGTCGGAGCATAGACCTGAATGACATTCAACGAATATCTTTTCGATACTCTGAGTATCAGGTATGCTACCCTGGTCGACACACTTCCGATGGTTATCACGTTGTTGACGATGGACTTATGAACGATACACCCGACACGCCTTAGACTGCTGGTCGCCCCCTCTGTAATATAGTTAGTTACCAGAATTGAGGATTATCAAATCCTCTCCCTCTCATCGTACTTCAGATAGACCGATGACATCCCAGCCTAACTTATTAACAGCTTTTTCCAACTCAATTAACTTCGCGTCAGTCCTCGGTGCGCACGTGTTGTAGGTTCCCGGGTACAGTCGTCTGGGTCCTGTGGGTCCTGGACTTCCGGTTGCTGCTGTTACTGCTGTGCTTTTGTAGAACCTCTCGACCTTGACTGACTTATTTCCTGGTTCGTTGCAGACGTTGAACCGTCGGTTCCAACAGTCGCTGATTCTTCTAGCGTATTATCCGGCGAAAAAAGTCCAAATGTATCGGCGTTATGCGTACTCTTCAATAAAGCTCAGTTGTTTACTTGAATAATGCGAATATTGCTAATATAATTACAAAAAATAAAATTAAACGAAAATTGCGAAAGAAAGTTGAGCGTACAAAATTTGAATTGCGTAGAGAGTGAGTTTTTTGATCACGTGGGTCAAAGCTGCTTCTACTGGTAGAAATGGAGCGACGTTCCGGTGTAGGCAGAACTTCTTACTCATGCGTCAACACCTGGTATGCAGACGACACCTGCCTGTTATATTTCGGGAAATCTATACATGACATTACACCACCACACACCGCGTAGCAAGATATCGACATACTAAGTGAATGGTTAAAATTTAATTTATTAACTATCAATACGTCTAAAACATCCTTCACGATCTTTTGTTCTAAAAATAAACATATAACGAATTTTACGCCACTAACTTACCTGGAAATGGCATATTGATCACATTAAAATGAAATTAACTTCATTATTAGGAGCATTACGTAAGATAGCTAGTTGTATACCAAGTAAAGTTCGTAATATAATCTACAGTTCTCTAGTCAAATCACATTTGGAATATTTAATAGAAGTATGGGGGTCAGCCGCTGCAACTTACTTAAATCCACTACAAAGACGATAAGAAAAGAATTATACAAAAAAACTAATTATTTAATCTTAAACAAATATATACATATTGCACATGCGTCCTAATAAAAGATATAACAAAAAAAAAGATTTACAAGCATAATCTTAGAAATAAAAATAAACTTCAACTTTGTAAAGCACGAACTAATTACAGACAAAAAACGATATTATTTGAGGGAGTACTGATGTACAATAGGTTGCCAAACGACATTGTGGAATGTGATAACAAAAACATGTTTAACAGTAAATTAAAAAAAAACTATGTATTGTCAGTGTAAGGAAAGTTTTGTATTTCATTTCCGCCTAAGGAATAGTCGAGTCGATTTTGTTTTATTTATTTTTTAATTATATTATATATAATTGTTTTGTTATTTACATAAGAATAACATTGTGGATGCTCATAAGATCAAATAACTTACTATTATTAACACTGGGCTTTGAACAATTAAGTCATAAAACAAGAAAAACATAAGTGACAACTACTTTTCAAGGCTGTTGAACTTAAGTATTAGTATCAAATTTGTAACTGTAATATCCGATGTTCCAAAAGGAGCAATAAGTAATACACAACTGCATGTTATTTTTATATTCTCATTTTAAGTGGACTGTATGTCTTTATGGGAAATAAATTTATCTTTGAACCTAATCCATCCAAAATCTCAAGTTTTTTTTTTCAAAACTTTATTTAGTAGGTAAGTTACTACATAATTTATTGTAAGGTAAGTAGGTAGTTAAATTAAATTCTTTTTTGATTTCTCCACATGACTACGTTAGTGAAAGCCCGTATGTAACAACAATGTACCTACCTATTTGTCAAAGGAATATTGATCCTACTATTGTTATAAATTTCACATTTGTATGTTTGTTACTCAAAAATTGTTAAACGGAAGAAGATGAAAAGCACACATATAGTCCATTAGCTGAATTGAAACATAAAATACTTTTCATCCCGGAAACATGTTTGGCTTCTGTGAGATTTTCAAAAAATAATTAGATCGCCGACTTCACACCACGTTTGCGTTTTCACCAAGGTATAATTAAGGGTAACATTGCACAATATTTTATAAACTTTATGCAATGTTTTCGATTTTTACTGACTTTAGAACTTGTTGTATACAAAAATAGTATGAAACTTGTTGGTTGCGGTGTAATAATTACACAATATACAAATTTTGCCTCGTCACGATGACTCGTCCGCACGAGATGCGTTGCAAGTTAGTGGTTATAGCTAACCTTGAAAACATTTTAAAGTGGATATAATTTTTAGAAGGTCGAAAGAGTTTAAATGAATTTTCCGAAAAATCTGGAGTAGTTATATTATATAGTTCTGATATTGCATTGGAACCATCGTTATTTATTAAACACTTATCCGGGTATATAGCCTTTTTGTTTTAATCTAAGTATATAGCACGATTTATGGATTTTTTACATTATTCTTCTGAATATTACAAAAATTCAAAATAATCGAAGTGTTACCTACTAATAATTGTTATTCTACATGCAAATATATTTTATATGTAATCAAGTTATAATCTGTTAACAGGACAACATCAACAGAACTAATGGGAATAAAGCCTTATTTCTGGCCAGCTTCAGACTACATTCATAATAATAGGTTATGTGTTTGAACCAGTACCCTTATACCGGCCATACACACTACGAGAAATCGTTACGATCAGACTGTACAGTTCGAACGGTACCGATAAATCGTAGCGTGTATGTTGTAAAACTGCACAGTTTTCTATACGTACTACGCCACGTACGATAAACTGTTCCGTTCGAACTGTACAGTCTGATCGTAACGATTTCTCGTAGTGTGTATGGCTGGCATTAGCACGAACCAATATCGATGTCGAATAGTTTGTGAGTGCTAAATGTCATTGTTAAATGTGTATTGATTTTTAGTGCTCTGCTTTGCAGGCGCTGTTGTTCACGTTTCCATACAAAATTTGACATTGACATTTCGCACTCACAAACTATTCGACATCGATATTGGTTCGTGCTAAGAGTACTGGTTCAAACACATAACGTACCTCTTTATGTGAAACTTCTTGCCGTGTTCTGTGGATTGAACCACACGAGTAAAATATGTTTGAACTTCAGAGTTTTGTCCCAGTGTTAAAAATTTTCAGTGTTAACTCATCAAATTTAAAAATGCATTTAACAAAAAGGGTAATTAGTAAATACTTTTAATTAAATATCTTACCTTATCTCCTTCTGCTACTTTAGCGATGACGGATCCATCATGAGGATTGTAAGTGTCAAACGTCTTTCCGCTCTTGGCTCCAACCCATTCATTGTTGATGAAGATCTGGTAAGCATCACTTAGTAAATTGTTTCAGTTATTTAAATTAAATAGGTAATTGTTAGTTAGTAGGTAATATTCAATATCTCAATTAAATACTGTTTCGATTGAAATGTAACGATCCTACTCATAGCTATATAACGTACCCCTAGCATGTGTGTACGAATAAAATTTAGAGCGCCTTCAATCGTCGCTGTTTAAGCGATCTTTATGAAATTAGTAGGGAATTGGTGTCATAAAATACTTAAGCAATTAATATTTAATTTAAAGCACAACGCAGGAGGTGCTCTTGTGTAATAGAAATCAATTTGAGTAGTGTGGTGCTTGCTGACTGCGTTGATTCGGGACTTTCGGGCACCCATCCCATTGCATTCGAAATGTTACGACACTGTCTGTATTTTCTTAACTACATATATGTAGGTGTTATCTCAGTAAACGTGATTTCAGCTACAAGGTATATAGGCTAATAATTCTAGATTACAGTCATACACACATCTACATAGATGTGTGCGTGACTGTTATCACACTGTTATCTATAACTGTGGCCCAACAAACAGCTTACTAAAAGCCGGCTAAGATCCGTCGGTATGTATGATACAACAATTGAACTTAAATTACTCTATTTAATACGGACAATTCAATTTGAACTATTGGGTACAAGGACAACGTATTCTTTTGCCTCCGGCATGTTTGCAAGACTTGGTCAAAATTAACATCTACATAACTAACCAATAAATAGAAATTATAAAAACAAACGTTCCTCTACCTCAATGTTGGGAATAACTATCTAGTAAATTTACTTAAAATTTAATGTAAAACCTCCAATCATTTCTTTTATTAGGTAATATATATAAATAGTTGGTATAACGTGCATTGTACTAATTTAAATAATTAAGGTGCTCACTTATTTAGTAAGTATTTACCTACAACAATTTATTTATAGGTATTAATAACACTGGAAAATATGTTAACTCCAATTCGATAAATAAATGACTTTTTGAACAGGTGCTACTATTTATAACTTTTTTTAATATTTCCTGACTGTCTGGTTTCGGATCCTCATGCTCCGTGGTCGCAAGGCTTCTAGCCTGACTAGGGTTACCAAATTTATTTCTATTAAATATGTATGTTCTTCAAAGTTGTTATCTCTAAAAATAGTAGTAACAAAATATAACATTTTTTTAAATGAATATTTTTTTGCTGCTCTACACCTTATTTATTTATTTAAAAAAAAATATTTTTTTTACTGGTAAAGGTCCGATTTACACAAAATATAGTAAGTATAGTTTCTTTCTTTAACTTTATATATTATTTAGAAATATAGTATTTGATCCCCAAATATAGTACAATACTGTGTGTGGCTCCTGTAAAGGATCCAAAATGTCAGGAATAATGATGAGCGCTTAACACCAATTTAAAAAGTATTCTTTTTACAAAAATGATTTGAATTGAATGGAGTGCGTGAGCTCTTAAGCAATAAATACTATTCGATAAAACTAAAAACAAATTAAGTAGGTATATGGTCTTAAAGACTTACTTTGGTATATTTGATTTCGGGAGCCATGTGACTAGCTTTATTTTTAACACTCGAAGTTGTTATGACGAATGGAGCCGACTAACTAAAATTACCATCAACCGGTTCATATATACCTAGTTGAGTTAGGCGTTTAATTCGGTAGTGTGATATGTTAGTGATAAAGCATTTTGAATCTTATGTCAGAATGATTTTAATACCTTTGCAAACAAAGTTTTGTATTATATTCTTTTGTGTTATAGTTTATTGTAAGTTTTCTTATTTTTAAAAGCATCTTCCAGCAGTTTATTTTCTGCTAGATTAAATTAAATAGAATATTTTTTTATTTTTTGTAGAGACACCCGTGAGTTTTGTCCTGTCCGGTGTCTTGGTGTCCTCGGTTGTTCGGGACTTTTAATTGGATTTTATTTTCCATTTATCGCTACCAGTGGAAATAAGTTTTTGAAGGTTTCTTAATATGATTTACTCTTAATGACTTGTGATTGTAAACCCATTCTTTAATAAATATGAAATATTTATGATTGACCTAGAAAACAGTAAATTTGTATTTATAATATTATATTTATTTTTATTTGAACACATGACAAATAATTTTGCTGAAGCATGGCATTTCAAAATTAAGAAAAAAAAACAATAAAAAAATGAGTTACACGGATTGCTAATAATAAACTCAGAGGAACTTGGTGTCGCGAGTGTTTGACGCGTTCGGCTGCGATCGCGATCGTTGAAGTTAACGATCCGCACTATTCCATCCATAGGGAAGGCCTGTGCCCCAGCAGTGGGGACATTAATAGGCTGATGATGATGATGGGCTAACAAAGATAGATTTAAAACATTTTCAATTGACAGAATACTAGCAGAGCAAGGGCATCAAGTGCTAAGACTGCCACCATACCACCCAGATCGAAATGGAATGATCTGACATAAAGCAATATCTAGGCAGTAAAAATGTGAAGTTGGAGTGTTGCTAAATGTATAGAGCTGATCCAAGAAAAAGTTTTGCTGATGGGTGCTTGGGAATATAGAAGATCAATATGCCAAGAGTGACCATGTCGTGGATTTGGTTACAGAAGATTTCATCATTCGCGTTGATGGTGACAGTTCAGAGGATAACCTTAGTGAGTCTGATGACGGTGACGCTGTTAGTGCCGACGACCGAAGCAGTCTTGAGCCCCGACCCTCAGTGAGCAAAAGGCCCTGTCATGGTACTATTGAAGGTGTCATGATACTACTAGAAAGGAGAATGCGGCGTCTGATGACCACGACCTGCCGAACTCGCAGGTTTCCTCTACCCTGAGAGGAGACTTCAGTAGGCTCAAATGTATTTCGGACTAGACTAGACTTGATATCTAAAATAAATATTGTCAAATTTTATAATGTATTTATTTTTATACTTCCCGTAAACTTGTTATAAATGATCGTAGGGTAACATGAAATGGTGGTTTTTCCATTAGCCGTCACGGTAATAGCAAGGCGTCATAAATAATATAATTATCATACATTTTAGCTTTTCCGCCGGCGCTGATGCCGTGCCGGCAAGTCGAAAACCGCCCATCCTTTCAAGCAGCAGATTATGTAGTGCCTAGTATAGGCTCCTGCGTCTTGCAAGCACAAAAACAGCCTTATTTTATATTGTTTTTATATTACATTCCAACCTACCTATTATTGAGAACATATTAAGTCGACAACAGAACTCTGGCACACTTGACCATTAAATAACCTAATATTGATTATAGTAATATTTGCATGGCATTATATTTGCATTTACATACCCATTCGCAGCTATCCCTTCCGCGTCTGATTATTAGTTCTCTCTACGTCCGTTATGGCGTTGCTGTTCAAGTTTCCATACAAAATTTGACAATGACATTTCACACTCGCAAACTATTCGAATTCGATATTGGTTCGCGCTAAGGGTACAGTACTGTAGAAATGTCTAACTTATCTAGTTAGCTATCAGGGGAGATAACAGTCCGACATCGATTTGAAAAAACCGAAACGTAATCAAAAATGCATAACTACTACTTACTTGTTACGGCAGTTATAATTAAAGCTATGCTATGCTTTCTTAGATATGTTAAGGTAAATAAATACATTATACTGTACAATGTATGGGAGGATAACAGAGGATTTGACGATCATTTTGCTTATACATACCACTAGATACGTATGATTTTATAAGTTGACTCAAACAAAGTTATAATTTTAAACGATGGGTGATTAGTTATGGTTTGTTTGTAATAAAATAGTTTGAATACGACTTTGTTTTATTTTTTCTTACAAGTAGGTAACTAATTAAGGAATACCTAGTTAATAACATAAAGAAACCCTTGAAAACTTATGCCTCCTATTCCCGTAGCATGAGCACCAAAATTTATATTATATCACGTTTTTTATAGCGTCTAACTGTCAAACTCCATAGCACGGTAACTATATAACTCACCATCCCGCGATGTGAGCGAGCGAGCTCTATGCCGGAGATCCGGTTCACACAAAGCTTAGTGCGTAAAGCACTCTTTTCCCTTGTCATCCACAAGTCGAGCGGGCCTGATGGAATCTCACCAATTGTGCTGAAGACGTGCGCTCCTGAGTTGGCTCCGGAGCCATATCTAAAGAGTAGGTGAGCCGGAAAAGACGCGTTAGTACCGGTACTAACGCGTCTTTTCCGGCTCTCCTACTCTTTAGATGTCGTTCCGAACTCATGGAAGACAGCTTTAGTGCACCCGATTCCTAAAAAAGGCGACCGCTCTCTCCCTACTAATTATAGGCCTATAGCCATCACCTCCTTGTTCTCCAAGATAATGGAGTCTATTATAAATTGCCAGCTCCTGCGGTACCTAGAGGACCACCAGCTGATCAGTGACCACCAGTACGGTTACCGTCAGAGTCGCTCGGCTGGTGATCTACTAGTATACCTGACTCATCGTTGGGCAAAGGCGATCGAGACCAAGTGGGAAGCATTGGCGGTCGGTCTGGATATCGCGAAGGCCTTCGATCAGGTTTGGCACAAAGCGCTTCTTTCGAAGCTTCCTTGTTATGGGCATCCTGAAAAGCTGTGCGGTTGGATCACTAGCTTTCTTGCGGACAGGAGCATCAAGGTCGCAGTCGACGGTGCATGCTCGGACTCCAAATCCGTAAACGCTGGTGTTCCACAAGGCTGTGTGCTTTCGCCTACGCTGTTTCTTCTTCATGTCAATGATATGCTTCAAATTGATGGCATTCATTGTTATGCAGACGACAGCACGGGTGATGCCCTATATACCGGCCGCGCTAACATTTCATGGGAAAACGTCATCGAGTGCCGGAACATACTTCTGTCTGAAGTCGAAACTTTGTTAAACCGAGTAACGAATCGGGGCCGACTTAATCTAGTCCAATTTAACCCTACGAAGACACAAGTATGCGCGTTCACCGCAAAAAAAATACCATTTGTCGTATCTCCTCTTTTTGAGAACACTCTTCTAACTGCCTCAGCTAGTATTGGAATTCTTGGCGTTGACATATCGAGCGACGTCCAGTTTCGGGATCATTTAGAGGGCAAGGCCAAATTGGCCTCTGAGAAGCTTTGTGGGCTCAATAGATCGAGAATGTACTTCACACCGGCCCACCGACTGCAGCTTTATAAGGCACAGGTTCGGCCTCACATGGAGTACTGCTCTCATCTTTGGGCGGGGGCACCCCAGTACCAGCTTCTCCCTTTGGATCGCATCCAGCGCCGAGCGGCTCGAATCGTCGACGACCAGGACCTCTCCGATCAGCTTGATCCTTTGGCTTTGCGGAATTGTTCGGATTAATCCCAGCTGCTGCATTTCGCCATCGTACATCGCGGCAAAAATTTCATCCCCATCATCTTGATGCGTGGCTATCCACAACCGTGCGTTTTTGTCGAAATTTTTTACCACGTACGACAAATCTGTGGAATACGTTGTCGCCAGCAGTGTTTCCGGACCGATACGACCCAAAAACCTTCAAAAAAAGAGCGTACTCCTTCCTTAAAGGCCGGCATCGCGTTTGTGATACTCCTGGTGTTGCAAGTGTCCATGGGCGACGGTGATCACTTACCATCAGGTGAGCCGTCTGCTCGTATGCCCCCTATAACATAAAAAAAAATATTACCGTGTCCATTGTAATTTCACAATTGAGCGTGACAAGAACGCGTTATATATAGGGTTGCAACGATATATCGGAATATCGATAATATCGAGACCAAAATATCGGTATTTATATCGATATTTAAAATTCACTGATATCGATAATATCGATATCGGAAATTCCAAAATATCGATATTTCGTAGACTAAATTTGAACACAGTAATATCAATTAATTTACCTGCTATGACTATCTAAATTGAATAATATCGAAATAACTATTGCTTTGAAATCGCAAGAGCTTATAGATGTATTAAAAAAATCTTGAACCCCAAGAAATATACTAAACTGGTGTGGATTCTGGCATGATTCTCTAAACCTAAAATTAAATTTGACAACAGTGTATCCTTGTCATTCTCTATACAGAATGAAAAGGAGTGACTGATGTTAAATGTCGTTTTAAGTTTAGATAATAATGCCAGAATCGACACCAACGTATATAGGTATAATCGTATACCTAATGGTAACTCATGCACTTAAATAAAATCCTTGCCTCTCTTTCTAGATAATTGTCAACTACTGATTAATTGAAATTTAATATCATTGAAATATAACACAAAATAAAATTAAGAATCTTATACAAATCGTAAATTTTTAAGCTCGCCAAGTCAAGAAAGTAAGATAGGTATAGTAATTTTGGAAGCTTTGGGCTTACCCTATTCTGAAGCCATGGGCACGCCCCTGATGTGTGGGTTTTACTAATACATAATAATTGTTTTTCATATGATTATCTATTCTGATTTTGGCTGCGTGCAAACGTTTTAAACAAAATAAATATCTTTGATTCGAAATTGCTTTTGATTTGATACTTCTTACAGCGCTATAAAAATATAGATATGTTGGAATGGCTGATACATCGGATTGGATATCGATATTTACCAGCCCACATTATAAATATCGATATTTCGGAAACCTTTGCTTCCTCTATTATAGGTTTTTGGTTT